CCTATAAAATCGCTCGCACTCGGCTCGTTAAATCTGAAAACCTCTCGGAGAGTCAAATGGAAATAAGCAACCTGAGATACAAGTCGCGTCCATTAGCTTCAGCTCGGGTGCATAATCAATTGTTCCGTAGATAATTGACGGCTCGGTATCGCAGCATCCCCAGGACCTATAATTCGATCGATCGATCGATCGATATCCATCCAGTTGCCGGGCGCATCGATCTCTGGAAAAAGCGACCACCTCGTCGGCAGTGCGCAATTATCGCCGGTTAAAGTCGACTCGAGTGTCTTCTGGACGTTCGCGATATCTCGATCGATAAATATAGCGAACCCGGCATCATCATAAACCGTTCGATTTGACCAACGAAAATAAATGCTCGGCGGGTTTTAAAGGCCCCGCCGGCCGAGTGATGGAAAAACAAACGCCGCTCGCAATTTGGGACCGCGAGTCACGTTCCGTTTACATCCCCTGGCAGATCCGCTCTTTCTATCGCCTCCGTAAATTCAAATCGAGCCTTCCTCATATCTCTAATTAGTCCAGCGATCATCCCCGCGAAATGGCTGACAACTAGCGCTAAATAATGCCGGGATGTCCAGGAATTGAGCGGACACGAAGTTCCTCCGGATGCCCGCAAATTCCTGGACATACCGAAATCCCGGAGTTTCGCCACCGCGTTGATAAGGTCCTAATGGCGCCTCTCCTGATAACGTAGATATAAAGGGGCGCTGGTAAATCTCGAAGGACGTTTCCACTAAAAACTCCCTTCGGTCGGGGGATCGAGGACGAGGACATTTTCGAAATAATTTGGCAAGTCGATCGGAAGGTGCCGAGTGCCGGAAGTGTCATAAGGAGGGGCTTCCCTAAGGAGAGCAAAGGGACTCGATCATCCGGAAAAGTGCGTTGGAAGGGTCCTTGGAGGATGTCCTGCGAGGATCCGGCACGCTGAGCGAGCGAGGGTCGGGGCCCAGGATGAGTCCCAAAGGGCCCGGGTCCCAGGAGGGCCCGAAGACCGAGGTGAGGGTGTCCTGTGGGTCCGAGTCCCAGGGGATCCGCGTTCGGATTCCGGAGCCGAAGAAACGAGCCGCGAGCCCGCCTCGCGAGATGCGCACCAGGTGTCCTTCGGTCCCCGAAAAGGATTTCCACAGGAAGACCTCGTCCTTGGACAGGAGGGAGAGGTTCTCCACCCTCTCCGGGGCGGAGATCAAGCGCGGTCTGGCCACGGATGTGCCCAGGCCCAGAAGAAACCCCATGCTGGACAGGAGGAACAGGTTCCCCACGATCTCTGGCGCCGAGCTGAAGAGGGGCCTCACCATCGGCAAGTGTCCCCTCGAGGACGGTCTCGACCTCACCCTCGCCCCCTGGCCCGGGATGAAGTGGGCCTGCGTCAGGGTCCTCCACCTCTACTGCAAGGTCTTCGACCAGTTCGAGCTCTTCGAACTGATCGTTAGGTAATTCCGCGATAATGACGACGAGTCGAGTCGACCGGTCTGGAATTTCGGTAGAGGGTCGCACCAAATGCATCTACGATGTAAGGTTTTCGACCAGTTCGAGTTTTCCGAGCTAATCGTTAACATGTAATACTGAGTAACCGACCACTTCGAGCTTTCCGAGCTAATCGTTAACATGTAATACTGCAATATCGTTGACGACCAGGAACTCGGTAGAGTTCCGCACCAAGTGCATACATGCTTGCATACTTTACGTAAACGCGAAGATCGACGACGCCGAAATCGGGACGACTGGCTTCGATAATCTCCATTTAGCACGCAGCCAGCTCGTTACCGTCGGAATATCGGCCTAATGGCGCGATTACGTTAACCATCGGACCCCGCCTATACGGCGGATTTTTTCTCGGGCATTTTTCCCCCGCCAGGCTTTCCTCGGCGAGCGCCGCCATTAATACGCGGCCCACGTGCCTAAACCGCGCCGAGTCGCTCGGCGCCTCCTCGAGCTCCTTTTACCCCTTTCGGAGGATTTCTTTTGCATTCCTCGGCCGTTGCGACACGCGCGTGGGCTGTCCTCGCGTGTCCTCGTTAGATTCGCGCCTAATCCTCGCTCTTAGGACCCCTTGATATCCCCCCTTTGCCTCAGGACCTCCGAATTACTCGACGCCACTCGCGACTCCTGTGAGGGACTTCGTCCTGCCAAGTGGCGTGAGCAGGGAGAATATTTCAATTATCCTCTGTCTCATTTCCCCAATGTCCTTGTAATATCCTTATAAAAGATAAAACATCCCGGGATTGAGGCTTACTCTCCATAATGGTTTTAATTTCTCGCGAAGAATCTCTGTTGCGAGTCCAAGGACGAGGAGTCCCATAAGGGAGTAATGCCAGAGGGAAATGAAGGACCTCTTTACTCGTGCAGTATCCTTGTAAAATCCCTCTGAAAATAAAAAAATCTCCAGATTGGGATTTTACCCCCATGGCGGTTTTAATTCCTCTCGAAAGCTCTTCGTTGCGAATCCGAGGAGTCCGATAAGGGATACGACACCAGGGGGAAACGAAGGACCTTCGAGAGTCCTGGAGTGACTGTAGGGCGATGTCCTTTGACTCCGTTGAAAATGTCACGGGCTTTATAATGCCGCGTCGTGTATGGCGTTAATGACATCCAAGACCTGCGAGAGTCCCGAGGGCTTTCGACGACCCCTGGGGATCCTGCTCCAATTGTCCTTCAGGACGAGGGTTGGTACCCCTCCCCAGTCGCGCCCGGAAGGACGAGACGTGTCTCGTATCCAGTTTGCGAAACGACGCCAATTCCAGCTCTGAGATTGGCGATTTATTGGAACGATTTGTTGTCATTGAAAAAATCCACACCACGAATTCGCGGGAATTAATGCTGATCGATTTTACATTCAGACTGATCCTTTAACCTCGACGCATTGACGCGTTCCCTGTGGCGATTTTCTGCGAGAATTCACCCCGATGTTACCCCGGAAGTTCCCTCCACCTCCCTCGGGCATTTTCGTTTCCCTGTCCGCTTAGAAATCACCTTTAATGAGGCCTCGTTGCTTTCAAAATGGCCGCGCAGGCTGATGATGACCGACGGTATTAGACCATTGGATTTAGTTTATCGGCGGGACCGAAATAATTTGTCGTCACTGACGTCACTTGTAGCTGTCCGCGCGACGGCGCGACGCGTGCAAATGTAAACATTCTTTATGTCAAATGACACGAAACACGGCGAGTATTTCGGGCGTTCGCCGGGCTACTCGTGCCGAGTTTCCGGAAAACTGGCCCATAAACGGGGCCATTTTGCGAGGAGAAATTCACAAAAGAAAAAGTGAAACCCCCCTTTTAACCCCCTTTATCTCTTTTATATCACAATGTCCAATTACTTCCGATTTACCGGGGAAGGTTTGCTGAGAAGGAAGGCCGTCGCCGGGTCAAGAGGTGAAGACCCCCGTATTATCTTCATCCTTTCCCCATTTTTTTCCCCTTTTCTCCCTTTTTTCCTTCGATCTCGTCAGCTCGACTCCGACATCCGGAAGGGTGCGGTAGTGCCATAATAAATGTCGGCCGCAAATGCAACCCCCTTTGATTATACGATTATCGCTCGATACGTGTATACATGCCCTGCCTACATGTCAGTATGTGAAGCGGCATGTACGAGACTTGCCCATCCCGGGATGTTCCGCCAGGGATCTAATAATTGTATAGACACGCTCCGATGGTAGAGGCGATTTATTGTTATAGTTATTACCGGTAGATTGGGTCCAGGTGGAGGCTTCAGGCCTAACGTGCGCCTCGATTTGAAGGACGGATGATGGCCACGGAATATGTGCACCTGGGATATCTCATTACGCCGGATATTTATGTGCCCTCGTATACGGTTAAGATTAATTTTAAGGAACGATCGGCTTCGATCGTTATTAGATACCCGGGCGCCTCGTGGTTGGATTTACGTGCGAAATTCTCTAAGAGTCTCATCCGATCGTCTAATTGCGATGTATATAAAGCTGGAATTGCCACTTTTGCACAATTCAATAAAGTTTGTTGCAAAATTATTGCACAAGAAAACAATTTTATGCTCTTTTACTTTTCCGAAAAATGGTGGCGATGTCAGCTTTATATAAAACTAGCACTGCCACAATAAAAAACAATTATTAAGTAAATGTTCGTTGATGAATTATATACTAGAATTTATTGCTAATTAATTGTTCGCAGAAAAACCAAATTTCAATTTTTTTTTGCTCATCCCTAAAGGGGTGAATCGCCATAACTAGTGCTGATCGCAGGACAGAAACATGATAAACATGGGAGAATCGAACTATTTCTTCACGTAGGAATTAATTGCTCCGAGAAGAAGCAATATCTTCGTAAAAATACAATTTTCATAACCTACATTAATTAGCGATTAATTCCCACGTGAAGAAATAGTTCGATCCTCCCATGTTTTTCATGTTTCTATCCTGCGATCATCACTAGGGGTGGCGATTCACCCCTTTAGGGGTGAGCAAAAAAATTGAAATTTGGTTTTTCTGCGAGCAATTAATAAGCAATAAATTCTGGTATATAATTCATCGATGAACATTTACTTAATAATTATTTTTTATTGCAGCAATGTTAGCTTTATATAATGCTGACATCGCCACCATTTTTTCGGAAAAGAATAAGAGCAAAAAATTTGTTTCTTGTGCAATAAAATAGAAATGAATTAGCAACAAATTTTGCAACAAATTTTATTGAATTATGCTAAAGTGGCAATTCCAGCTTCATATACATCTAATTTCGGGCAGATAAAAATGGACGATGGTGGTAGGGCTACCTCGAGATGGTCGATCTCGCTTTATTAGAATACTTCGAGGCGATGGGACGAGCTTAATTAAAGACTAGCTAGGTGCCAATATTTATACCCGTCCTAGATTGCGTCTTTGAGACGAAGCCGATGTCGCGTTTACGCGGGATCGAGTCTCGTTAAACGAGTCGATGTTGACTCGTTTAACGACCGAGCTGGTAGTTATGGCTTCACCCTTTCTTACGCCGTGGAATTCTCTGTTTCAGGAAGAATTGCACGAGCTGCAAGTGCCCGAAGGAGGCCCATGACGTGTGCCATGAAGAGTGGGTGTCGGTCAGGGCTCGGCTGGGACTGAAAGGAGACGAAGCTTGCGGATCGGCGACGGGATTCGACCCCAGAGACCATGGGTTGGCATGGGCACCTCCTGGTCTACCACCCCATAAGGTTAAATCGGATTCTCCTATCACGAGATATTCCATAAGCGCTCGTCTCTTAACACGTTCCGTGCCACGTGTACCACCGATAATACGTGTTAACCTCGGGTGGTACACGGCGTGGCACGGAACGTGTTAAGATGAAGTGAAACACGTCGAGGAACTTGATCGACGTCGATAAAGAAGATGTTTCTAAATGCCTAAGTTGCCGACGTTGGTTTTTATATCGACAGATGGGTCGAATTATATTGGGTATTGCACCAAATGGCATATTCCACCTGTCGTTTTCGTACAGTAATTATAAAGAAATCGAAGTAAAACTTCAGAAATCCTCTGGATTCATGCTTTCTGTGGCCCTAATTGACTGCAGAGGACCCCCTGCGCCATCTGTGATTTCCAGGCCAATTAAATCTTCACTCCGAGACCTCGTATTACCATCGTTTTGGCATACAAGCGCACACAACACTTTTTTTGCCTTCATCCCGTTCAAATGCGAGTTTATCGACTACCAGAGTGTTCTAAATTGTCGTAAAATTGTCCTGACCCTTTCGATTCTCATATCAGAGCCTTTGATAATTGTATATTGATCGAAACATGAGAGCTCGACGCCATTTTGGTTCTGATCTGGGCTGAGTTAAATAATTTTCTTAAAAAATCCAAATTTTTAGTGTGTTAGGACAATTCTTAGATGATCAGGAGTGGCGTGTCAGTTTCGCACAGTTTGGTCTAATACCCTTAAAAAAAAGTGTTGTATTCAAATCGACCGATTTGAAGGGTGTTTCACTTCACCTTAACCTGGCGACGTCCAAATTTATTTCCCGATGGATCGTCAATGTCGATCGACATCGATATCGATTATCACAGCCTAGTAAACTTTCCCATGCAACGCGACTCGTCTCGAAATCCCCCTATGTACAATGGAACATAAATCCAAATTTAAATCCAGGGCGTGCGTATCTTCTAAATTCGCGAGAGATTCGTTCACTCTACGTGCCTTTTTCTCGAAGGCTGATAAATTAATCCTTCGGCTCAAAGAACGTTCTAAGTAATAGAACAGCAAGTGGTTTGCCCACGCTTCCACTCGCCATTATCAATATTTATTGCGCCGGTTCGCCGATAAATCACGATCCGCGCAACTATTGTGAACGGTTTCGCAAGGCCTTGACGAGAGTTGGACTTTTGTCGGAGGCGCGGTGAAAAATGAAAAGGAAGGATCGCAAATTCGTTTAATCGACGGATCCTTGAGATGAAACCCGGATGACGATTAACGTTGACTCTCGCGTTTGACAGTCGTTTTGAATCGTTAATACTTTCAGAAGACTCGTAACGACCAACCCCGACTCCTGCCTCCTCGTCGAAGACAATTGCACGGGGAACTTTCCCTCGCCGGAGTTTTTACGACTCCGCAAATGCACTCCAGGGTGGGCGCGAGGAGACTTATTTACGGCGACGTTATTCGATTAAGACCGGCCTGGGCAAAGCGATAACTCCTCTTAAAGACGTTTCGCAAAGTATGATGTGCACCGGGTGCAACGGCTCGAATTTACGAGGACAACATTCAATTAAGGTCGACGGCTGCCGCAATTATTCGCGATGGTTCCTGGCGGTGCGGAGTCCTGGAGATCGAGGTCCTCCTCGAGGTTTCTTCTGGATTTCCTCTCCGCGTTTTATCCGCTGATGCGTCCCTCTCCGGTCTCGATGGAACTCTCATTACGGCGGTATATTATTCGGGTAATAAACGTCTCCGGAGGAGCTCACGGAAGCTAAAGTTCACCGGGGTGTTTCCTTTCTCTCCCTGGGGATTCGCAAGGGATCCTTGATTCTATCGCGGGAAATAACGAGAAAAAAGAGAGGGGGCCTCGAAAAGGGAGCTGATTGAGATTCCTCCTTCCAGGTGGAGGAGTACTTCAAGATGCTGCCGGAGATCTCGGTGCCGAGACTCGGAACTCCTGGAGAGCGTCACAGAGATCGGCAACTGGCCACCCAGCTGCCGAAACAAGACCTGGCGACTGCATACTGTCGTCATCTGGATCCTGAACGCACAGCCAGTGCCGACGACTTCATGGCAGCCAGGAACGAGATCGCCCTGGACATCGGAACCGTCCAGGAGGTTCTCGAGAGAGGCGCCGTAAGCTCGCTTGAGAATTTCCCCGGACGTCTTCTCAAAGGTTGATTTTCATTTAAACTTTTACTTCCAGGACTGCGGAACGTGCCATGAACCCCTTAAATACGGAAGCCTCGCCATCTACGCGAGCAAACTCGGCCTCCTCTACCATCCCGCGTGCTTTCAGTGCACCCAGTGCAGGGAACTCCTGGTGGACCTCGCGTATTGCGTCCTCGAGGATGCTCTTTATTGCGAGAGACACTATGCCGAGCAACTTAAGCCGAGATGCGCGGCTTGCGACGAGGTGAGTAGATAAAAATCCCGGATCAGTGACTTATCGGTCACTGGTTAGGTAGGAACCTACTTACCGACCATCAGTGCGCTCCACGGATAAATTCAGCCGGGCATTTATTGTCGTTATTACGCATCAAAGCTCATTTGGAAGTCCTAGCGATCTGTAAAATCGTTGATACTTCAAACTCGGAGTACATCGCCACAAGTTGGACACCTGGTGACTTTTGAAATTTGGTGTCCAAAGCCTTTGTTATCGCGTTAAGGTACCAAAGCGCACCTCGTGGTCCTGGGGTTCTGCAACGTCGCCGATACTGCAGAGTATGAACGCATCACCGCAAGTTGGACGTGTCTTCTGAAATTTGGCATCGAAATTCGTCGTACGATTACCGACTGCAGTCTCCCACCATCGATGCATTGCTACATTGCCGACGTGAAGACGCATACTCGGCTGATATCGGCTTCTTATCGGAAAAGCTGCATGCCGTTGCCATCGAACTCGTTTCCGCTTTTGCGGTATCCAGCATCGCTTAGGCGAGATTTCCGATCGGAGTGCCGACCTTCACCTCGAAGGAAGGCAAGACCTCGGGGGTTTGCGCAGTTTCGCGGCGTTCCCGGGTGTCTGACTCGTCTTGACCATTTATGGCCGGAGTTGGTTCGCGTTATAAGGCCACGTCTCTTTCGCGAAGGAGCGCTCCGTAGTTTCGCAAGGCACTTTTATTACGAGACCCGCAGTTACCGCGGCGGAATCCGAATCGCTTTCTGACCCAAATAGCGACGCCAAGGTCGATATCGGCCGCGATAAGGGATTTTCTCGAGTTTCACCCTTTTGGAGATCTCTTAGAGATCTCTAACGAATCGCTCTCGACTCTGCTGGGTCAAGCGAGACCATCTTGATTTTCCCGACTCGTATGTAGAGCGCAATAGCAGCTAAATGCCGCGTAATATCGAAGCGTTGTCACCGCCGGTGGCTAGTAAGTGGGCCGCTTTCGGCTTTATTTAGCGGTACCAGAATAAACCCGGGAAGATGGGAAATAATTTCGGGCACTGCGCAATGCGAATAATGTCCCCGCTACGAAAACACGTCTCGTCCTCGGCACTTTGAGGAGCCTCGAAATTCCGACGAGCCCGTCACCCGTTAATTCAACCGTAATTCACGGATCCGAAAACCCGTAAATTCCCTCGCGCCAAAGAAACAAATCTGCGCGACAAAGGACCCGCTCTTGCATTTATTACCATTGGCAGATCCTCGACAATCGGATCATACCTTCCACCCGGGGTGGACTTTTACAAGGGGGCGTTCCATTATCTCGCGTCGTGGCTTAATTGCCATTGCTCTTGCATTTATTACCATTGGCAGATCCTCCACAATCGGATCATACCTTCCACCCGGCGTGGATTTTACAAGGGGGCGTTCCATTATCTCGTGTCGTGGCTTAATTGCCATTGCCATAATTGAGAGTCCCTTAATCGAGGGAATACCTCGGTCCTCCGATGGTTTCCTTCCTAGCCGGAAATTTCGCGTCTATCCGCGAACCTAGGGGCGGTCTATTTTGACTCGTTGTCGAAGCTCCCACCACGTAAGTGCCGAATGTTCATTTCGGTACGCGAGCCCCTTTCATTCGATTCAGTCATCGGCGAGGAACGAAGGACGATCCAAGGCGGCATTTTCCACGGCCGATTGCGATGAGCTTTTCCAATAACTAGCCAGAACCACTCAGAATATCGCGATCACTCCATACACCCCGATCTCACACTCATCTCGCATTCATCCGACACATTTCATCCGCTCTTTCCGAGGGGAGAGTTTCTGCCATTTCGAGGTTCGGTAAGTGCAGTGTGTGTAGGTAGATGCACCTGTATAGAAGGAGGGTCCATGTGCTTGTCGAATTAAGGAATGGCAATTTCGGCCCCTCCTCTCCTTCCTGGAAAATATGTTTTGTCTGGTCTGAGACTCGACAGATGCTGAACCGAGCTTTATACCAGGACGTGTCGTAATCGTGACGCAATCTTTGCCGTTACCGAGCCTCGTAAAATTCTAGCTCATTGTCTATTTCGAGAGAGTTGAGTGCTGCCGTCGTATGTTAGGCCAGAAAACCAAAGAAAATGCCTCGATGGTTTCGCTCGAACCCTAGCGACGCCCTTTCGATCATCATTTATCGATGTCGTAACTTGGTTTAGAGGGAAAAAAAAAAAAAGAAAAATCAACATCCCGTGGTTACCACTCGGGTCGATTTTGTATGCTGGGTGCGAGATGAATCCGCGCGTATTTTTGGATGGGTTTCCCTTGCTGGCTCGCGGCTTGAAAAAGAATCTCTCGAGTCTGGATCCATCCCAGGAAAAGCCAAGGGTCGACCTCTGACCCGAAGGAACGCGGAGATCGGACGAAGAAAGGTTGCGACTTTCGCATGTCGGACATTCTGACCAGGTCTTTGCTCTTGACCATTTCCTATTGCCAAAGTGCGTCGTCGACTTCCCAGCACGGTCGAAAAGTATTGCGAAACTCTTTCCCAGGTCTTCGATCGTGATCTTCGATCCATCGGATCGTTCCGAAAGGGTTAATCGACCGCGACGTGTCGGTGATACCGCGTCCTCGGACTTTTTAACTCACTCTTTTTATCCGATCACTCTCTTAATCCCTAACATTCTGCTCGTTTCTACGAAACGCGTTCATTTTCGAAGCGTTGAGGTGAAACTTCTTTAGCTATGATTGGGTAATATTAAATCACAATTGGAAATTGAAGAAGCATCAGCTGATAACGATGTGTCATTTATGTCGCTCGGCTTTGCACATTTTCTTGTTTTCTATGAAACCTCCTCAGGAACGGTATGGTAAATTCGACTCATGCGAATGTGGGGTAAGACCAAATGTCAAGGGGGACATTTAAATGGAGGGGGTAATTTTGTAATTATTAAATTACAATTAGAAGTTGAAGAAACATCAACTGATAACGATGTGTCACTTATGTCGCTCGGCTTTGCACATTTTCTTGTTTTCTATGAAATCTCCTCAGGAACGGTATAGTAAATTCGACTCATGCGAATGTGGGGTAAGACCAAATGTCAAGGGGGGCATTTAAATGGAGTGGATAGTTTTTTAATTATTAAATCACAATTAGAAGTTGAAGGATCATCAGCTGATAATGAAGTGCTACTTCTGTCGCTCGGCTTTGCACATTTTCTTGTTTTCTATGGAACCTCCTCAGGAACGGTATGGTAAATTCGACTCATGCGAATGTGGGGTAAGACCAAAAGTGAAAGGGGACATTTAAATGGAGGGGATAGTTTTTTTAATTATTAAATCACAATTAGAAGTTGAAGGAACATCAGCTGATAATGAAGTGTCCCTTCTTTCGCTCGGCTTTGCACATTTTCTTGTTTTCTATGAAACCTCCTCAGGAACGGTATGGTAAATTCGACTCATGCGAATGTGGGGTAAGACCAAATGTCAAGGGGGACATTTAAATGGAGGGGGTAATTTTGTAATTATTAAATTACAATTAGAAGTTGAAGAAACATCAACTGATAACGATGTGTCACTTATGTCGCTCGGCTTTGCACATTTTCTTGTTTTCTATGAAATCTCCTCAGGAACGGTATAGTAAATTCGACTCATGCGAATGTGGGGTAAGACCAAAAGTGAAGGGGGACATTTAAATGGACGGGATAGTTTTTTAATTATTAAATCACAATTAGAAGTTGAAGGAACATCAGCTGATAATGAAGTACTTCTGTCGCTCGGTTTTTTATATTTTTTTTTTATAGCCAGCAGTTTCGCGACAAGTGGCCCGGGTCCCCCCGGAGCCGCTTCCGCCGTGACATTGCAGCGCCGATCGCCTCTAATTCGGTCATGCTCAAAGAAGCTTTCCGGTCCTCGGTTTCGACCATGGCACCGAGCGCGGAGCCGCGAAGGAGTCCGATCACCGACCGAAATAACTCTTTGGCATTGTTCCGTTTTCCCTCCAGAGACCGAGTCCCGCCTAAATCGCCTCCTCCGCGAATTCCTGCGCGGCATCTCAAAATCTAATCTCCACCGATTCTAATAAAGAACCTCCGGGGGTTGTCCGACCCCCTTAACCGAGACTTCGACACCCGAATTCCTCGGTTAAGCTTGCTTAAATTGGGCGAAGAATAACGAGCCTCATGTCGCAACGCGTATTACGTCGAGGACCTGCCTTGACAAGAAGAGGACTTAATCACGGTGTGTAACGTATTATCGTGAGAAGTCTTAATTATAGGCGACTCGCGGCCCACCTCGGACTCGCTTCGGACGGTTCAGGTTAGCTTATAAGACGTCTTGGATTTATTTTCGCCCGCCGCCCGATAGTTCGCCGACGAAACGTTTATTTTCGGACATTCGCCGACGCAAATGCTAACGCTCCGCGATGGAATACGGCGGCCTGACATCCCATAATCGTAATAATCCCTACGGATTAATTTACGATCCGTGCTCCTAGGAGGTCGAGGGGAAATCCCATCGAAGTGCCTTCATCACCTCGCCCACCTCCCGAAACCTAGAAAGACCTTAGAACGGTCCATATTCAGGGTAGCCAGATTTTCATCTTCCAAGGGAACCTGGCCATTCGTCGATCGCATCCTGGCGTAATCCTTAACTAGTCTGATTTTTCCCTGCGGGGGGTCAAAGTATCCTCGTCGGGGCGTTTAATCGCGGCCCGATTAATCTCTCGAGGAGCAACGTCCCCATTTAAACGTGCCACATATAGAGCCGGAGATTTATTCCCGCGAGAGTTCGATAGATCCTTAATGGCGAGTCTCGTCGATATCTGGTTGGAAGCCCGCCAGAGTAGCACCGGGCGCAAACCTCTCGTCGGAGATCCGGCTGACGTCTCTTGGACGCAAGCGGTGAGGTAATCGGAAATATAGGACCCGCCCAGATTTCGGAAGCCTCCGAGATCTCCTACCACTGGATGCACCAGGAAATGAAGGAAGAGGGTGAAAAAAAAAATGTTCTATCTTTTCTAGCTCTCCATTCTTCCATCCTTTGGAAGACTT